GCAATCAGGCGTATGGAAATGCAGAGAGCACGCTACGTTGGCGGCATACACTTGGGGGTTGGGTTATCAATACATAAAATGGAGTTCACTCAGAGAATGCACGGAGTGATTCAAGGACACAAATGGTACTCTGGGGCATGATACGTATACACGTAAGAGTCATTAAAATAACATATAGGGCGTTTTAAATGTTTGGCCTCATACATACATTTCCAGATATGCTGTAGATCTAAGAAAAGAACAAATGAGCAGAAAAGAAAATAAGGTAAAGATGTAAGAAAATTAACGGAGGTGAAATAATGGGAAAAAGCAGAGAAAGGCACAAGCCTTAGGCATCATAGTTGAGGGGAAATGTTTTTAGGTCTGCGGATCACTGCTAGAGTTTACAGAGTTAGTTGAATGTAACTTAGGTTATAGAATACAGTCCCAGTCCTGCCTGACAGGTTCTGCCAGCTCTTCTAGACAGTTGCTCCAGTGGGAGATTAAACGTGTGCTTCATAAATGAATACACAGCAGGAGCCCGAGACTCATGGTAACTACGGAATTGATCACCCAGGAGTCTGACTTTCTTACTTAAACCACTGAATCATGTCTGATAGGTATGAACTTCAATGAACCATGTCATTCCAAGGTCCTTTTGACATTCAGAAATTGATTATGCATTATAAAGCACTACTAAATATCAACGATTCATATAATCTATCTCAGCATGTCACGAAGCTAATGGCAGGTTTCTAACATTTCTTGAAGTGTTCTTACAGAAAATTCTAGAATAAAAACTAATATTTGTATTGTGTGTTTTAGTTTATGAAATATTTTCAAATATATCATCTCATAAACATGACCAACATGATCACCCTATTAAATAAGTACAATTAGAACAGATGAAGAAACAAAGGCATAGAGAAGTTAAATAACTTATCTAACTTATTAAGCAGGAAAGCCAGAATCAGTCTCCTAACTCCAAATATTATATCTATTCTTGCTTTTTCCACAATTTTTAATTTAGTAGTATAAAATTTAATGAATCAGTAATAACCAATTTCTTATATTTCCTTCACTTTAGTCATTAAATGACATGAGCTAAGCACTGTACTTAGAAAACTAGTGAAAAAATAAAGTAAAAAAAAAAAAACCAACTATGTGCTTTTAAATCTTGGTTCCTTACCATATTCTTTTATATCTGTTGCCAAGTCCTTTTCCTGAAGGTAATTGCCAGTAATTACTCTCTGTGATTGCTATGTGCGTGCCACAGACGTTATCCTTACTCTAATTACAATACAGTTAGCCAAAGCTGAATTGTTACATTTCAGTCCAATTCACTGTTTGTTTTGCAGGCTATTTATAGATGTGACAGATGTATACTGCTCAAATGATAATGGAATTTGATATACTTTTCAGAAGTGATATAAAATATACAAAAACATTAAAAGGAACAAATTGGACAAATCAGTGAGCACTGCAGCTGCTCAAGGGACATCGGGGCAGCTCCCCCAGGATTTTTAAAGACGCTTTGCCAAAATAACCAGTGAATTGCTTTCCATAACATTCTCAAAATTAATAACTGCTGAGAGTGAATATATTCTAAAGGAATAATTTGAATTTTATTTTGTGGGGAAAAAACAAGGAAGAATGAAAGAATTGTTTCTATTGCAATCTTTGTGGTATATATAAAACATGAAAGTTGCCATTTTAACCATTTTTTTAAGTATACCATTTAGTGGCATTAATTACTTCACAATGTTGTACAACCATCGCCAGTATTTCCAAACTTTTCATCACCCCAAAAAGAAATTCCGTACCTCTTAAGCAATAACTCTCCACTCCCCTCACCCCAACCCCTCGTAACCTCTAGTCCACTTTGTCTCTATGAATCTGACTCCTCTAGATATTTGGCATAAGTGCAATTATACAATATTTCTTTTTGTGACTGGCTTTTTTCATTTAGCATAATATTTTCAAGGTCCATCTATGTTGTAGCATGTATTAGAACTTCATTCTTTTTAAATATTCCATTGTGTGGATAGACCAATTTTGTTTATCTGTTTATCTCATGGACACTTTGGCTGTTTCCACCTTTTGGCTATTGTGAATAAGGTTGCTTTGAACACTAGCGTTACAAGTTATCTGTTTGGTTTCCAGATCTTTTGGGTATATTCCTAGGACTTGAGTTGTTGAATCATATAGAATTGCATGTTTAACTCTGAGGAAACATCAGACTCTTTATCACAGTGGCTGCAGCACTTTACATTCCCACCAGCAATGTGCAGGGTTCCAAATTCTCCACAACCTTGCCAAGACTTATTTTCTATCTTTTTGAATACAGAGATCCTAGTAGGTGTGAAGTGGCATCTCACTGTGCTTTTGATTTGCGTTTCCCTAATGACTAATGATGTTGAGCATCTTCTTCATGTGTTTAATTCCATTTCATATCTTCTTGGAAAAAAATGTCTATTCAAGTCCTGTGTTCACTTTTCTAATTGGGTGTTTGTCTTTCTGTTGTTGAATTCTAGTTTTTTATATATTCTGGATATTAAACCCTTACCAGATATGTGATTTGCAAATATTTTCTCTCGTTCTCTAGGCTGTCTTTCACTCTCATGATAGAGTCCTTTGATGCACAAAAACTTTTAATTTTAATGAAATTCAATTTATTGTCTCTATTGTTGTCTCAGCTTTTCAAGAAACCACTGCTAAATCCAAAGTCATGAAGATTTTTCCCTGTTTTCTTCTAGAAGTTTTATAGTTTTGGATCTTAAATTTAGGGTCCTTGATGCATTTTGAGTTAATTTTTGTATTAGGTATAAGGTGAGGGTCCAATTTCATTCTTTTTCACAAGGCTATCCAGTTTTCACACCATTTGATGAAGACAAAGAGTTATATTTTTAATAATTAAAAAGCTATATTGTTGCTCATTTCAAAGGCTGGCAATTCTCAAACTGTGATTTATTTTTTTCAGTATTCTAAGATTTTGGTATAGAAGATAGCATCTTCTTCTTTATTTAAAAATGTTTTTAACCTTACTTCAAAAGTAATAGACGTTCATTATCAAATTTAGATTAATAAAAGTAAACAAAAACGAAAAGAAAAATAAACATTCAGAAAAAAAACCAAACACAGATAGCACTTTGGTTTCTATTCTTACAGTGTCGGTTTTCGCGCTCTTTCTAAATATGGTTCTAGCTATGTCACATTCACCTATGTCAAGTATTCTATAACATCACTTTTAATGGCTGCATAGTGTACCACATCTGGAAGGCCTGTAACTTATTTAACCAAATCTTTCATAGGAGGTTTAAAAACTGCACTAACACAGCAGGCACTAATCACAAGTGGCTCTTTAAATTAATAGTAAATAAAATTAAAAATGCACAACTGTACTAGCAATATTTCCAGGGCTCAATAACTACATGCAACTAGTGATCGCTATATTAGCACAGATACTGAACATTTTCCTCATCATAGAAAGTTCTAGACAGGACTGCTTGAGAATGTTTCCAAATTATCCAAATTATAAATCACTCCAAAAGTATTGTAAGTAAACTTTATATACCTATAGCTCTGCACCTTTCTTTAGAATAACACCTAGAAATGAGTCACTAGTTCAAAGGGCACACAAATTTCCACGCTTTTTGAAGCACTGCATACAGGGATGTGTTCATTTCCTTTATCAATATGATAAAGAATAGTGTCTCCTGTTTAAAAGGCACATTGATTTGACTGGGGAGGTGGTGAAGTGGAAAAAGAGAGGAACAAAGAAAGCTCTCTGGTCTATGGAGATGCTACAAACATGGGAGAAAGATGGTAGTCTCTATAAATTGTTCTACAGTAACATCAGTCTATACAGAAAGAGGGTTGTCACATTACCTTGGCCCCATGCACACTTATCTTCAGGAACACCACTTTTAGGGTTAAATGTGAACACCTGTTTATTGGCCATTTGTGTTTTGTTTCTTCATGAATGTTCTCAGTCTATTTTCCTAGTGCGATAATCATCTTTTTCTTATGATCTTATAAGAGTTCTTGATATAGACAGGATATAAAAACTTTGTTTTCCAAATATGTTCAAATAAATTTGCTTAGCTTGTTACTTGCCTTTTGTTATGAACTGTAGGAGATTAACATTTAAATATAGTAAAAACCGGGCCAGCCAAGTGGCGCGCTGGTTAAGAGTTGGCTTGGGACACCAGCGCTGAGCAACAGGGCCCGGTTTCGGATCCCACGTTAGGGCCAGTGACGCTGCGCCCTCTACAGCTAAGATGGTGAACAACAGCTCGACCTGGGGCTGTGCTGCCGTTGAGTCACTGGCAGTGAAGCTGCAGTGGGCTGCCATAAGCTACCGTGAGTGGCTGGCAGCCGGCGTGAGCAGCCGTCCAGTGGCCGGCGACCGATCTGCCTCACCCGGGAAAGAGTGCAATGATAATACCAACATGGGCCAGTGAAGCAATGTCCTCCACAACTAGAATGAAGGACAAAAGGACAGCAACTTGTCTGTTCCCCTTCACGGATTCCCCAGTGCTGTTCCCCTCCCCCAATTCCCCAATAAAATCTTTGAAAAAAGAAAAATGAATGATTGGACAGAGCTTGTGCAAGAGCAATCGTCCTCTTTTCTAATCATTGAAAATACTCATTTTTTTTCTTCATATTCCTTTAGAAATACCTACCACAAGCAATGTCCTTATTTACATGAAAATGTATTTCATAAATAAGGGCTTCAAGTATAACCTTTGGCAAATGCCACATTATATTTTAACAAAGTACTTACACATACATGAAATAAAATACCCTTGTGAGGCAGGCTGTTAATGTTGCCATTTTATAAGTAGAAAAACAACCTGTGAGAGGGCAGAAACTTGCTGAAGGCAACGGCACCAGCAGATCCCAGGGCTGACACTAACTGGGGCTTCGCCCTCTACACGAAGTCTGCTTTTCACTCCATCAAGCCCAAGTTTTCAGACATCAGCTTTTAACAAAGCATCAGCTGTACTTGAAATACTTACACTGACCCCAGCGACCTGTTCTTGGATTCAAATAATTTGGATAAAGACCATTTGGACGATCCATTTTCTGAAGTAGTTTCCGAATGTGCATGACCTATACAAAATAAAATACAGAATGCAATTAACAAAAATTAGTGTCATCGTCACTTTATATTAATCTAGGCTTTGCATTTTATCCTCACTCAGAACCTGCAGCACCTCCCCTGCCTTTTTGTGGTGTGTATGGTGGTCAAGAAAAGCTGTTTTTTTAAATGCCTCATTTATGATGACATGTGATTATTATTTAAAAATCAAGCAACAATAACAATAGAAAGAAAACAGCCACTGGTGTTTTGATTGGCATTGAATTGATACTACAGATCAACGTGGAGATGACCGAAATTCTTATGATGCTTACACGAACATGACATATCTCTCCATTAAGGTCCTCTTCAATGTTACTCAACAGTTTTGAACTTTACCTGTCATTAGATTTATTTGTAGGAAACTTACACTTTTGTTCCTACCACATAATGTATGTTTTTATAAAGTGAAACTTCCTTGCCTGTTTTAACGGGTGCAGAGAAATGCTACTGATTTTTAATACCTATATTGATCTTTTATTCAAATATATATTAAGCTCTCATTTCTAATAATTTAAATGTACACTGTCTTAATATTTTAGGTATATAATCATGTAATTTGTGATTAATCAGTTTTTCTTTTCAATTTTTGAACTTTTTATACATTTTGTTTTCCAAATGTATACATTTTATACATTTTGTTTTTCATGCTGGCTTTCAGCACAATGCAGAATATAGATGGTAATGACATTTTTAAAAAGCTTACTAGTGGTTACAACTTCTCAAATAACAATAAATATTTTAAATATGTTCTAAATAGAAAGAATATTTCTTTCAATAATTTAAAAAGAAAACGAAGGCCAGAGTCCTGCTAAACATATTTCAAGAAAGGCAAACATTTTCTAAGCATTAATCAAGTCTTTTGGTAAATCTTAAAGAGTTTTTATATAACAAAGAAAAGAAGACAAGAACACTAACCTTTTTGTAGTAAATCGGGTCCCCTGTCAAGTAGCTGAGGTGGACAAACTCCATATGTAATGTGCCAAATTCAGCAAGAATGCTGCTACCCGCAGATGCCCAACCCCAGTTTCGCCCCACTCCACTGAACGACAGCAATGGCAACAGGAGACAGAATTGGAAAAAGACCAAAACATTTTTTAAATGAATACATAAACGTTAAATCTCTTAGAATTATTATATCTAACACAATTTATACCTAAAATTTTATTTTATTATTTAAACAAATTTTTCAATAGTTACTATACATGTTTTTAAAAAATGAAATATAGAAAAGTATACAGTAAATATGTTTCACTCCAGAAATCTCACCTCTCTTCACACCACCAGGCCTGATAATCACTCTCAGTAGCTTCTTATGTATCAGTCCAGAATTTTTTATGCATATATAAGCAATCCAAATATATATTATTTTCCTCCTTTCTTAAACAAAACTATATAACGAAGTATACTTGCTGCTCTTTAACTTGCATTTTACTCTTAAGATGTACTTCAGTGGTCTTTCCCTATCAGTTCACAAATAACATTCTCAGTTTTTTACAGCTGTGCAAAATTCCATGGTATTAATGACTTCCCATTGGAACAGCCACTGCAGAGGCATATGAAAATGTGTGGGAGCATTCCGAGTTGTCTCAAACCCTAATGGTGCAACTTGTGTTTATTGTGCTGGGGACAGAGATGTAACATATCCTGTAATGGTCAGGACAGTATCCTGCAATAACAAATTGTCCATTTCCAAATGCTGATAATACCTGTGAAAACTACCACAATATATGAGTAGATAGAGTTTAATTAACCCTCCATCTGTGGTCCTTCAGCATATTTCTGATGTTTTGCTATTATGAAAACTTTTACTGTGAATAACCTTATGTACATTTCTTTTGTGCAGATGCATTTCTAGGATATCTTCCTGTTATTTTTTTAGCCTGCCTTATAATTTTTTTACTAGAAGCCAGAAAAAGTGTAAAAGTGTAGAGGCTTTGGACATTATCGTCTTTCTGAGAAAGTTAAGTTTCTTCTGAAACTCAGGGAGAGTACAGGCAAATTACCATGGTTTTAGCATTTGGTAAGGATAGTCTATTTCAGTTTTGCCTCTACGGCTAGGGAGTAGCCCTGAGCTCTCAGCTGAAAGCTTGAGGAGTTTACCAAGGGACCTCCACCCTGCTAGCCTGCAACACTAACCTCTGTCTCCCCAGTACCATGTGGCTGTTAAATTTTCTCCTTTGCCCTTTAACCTCCAGCTGCCATTTTCTGTTGGGTTTCCTTGAGTCTTGCCCCGTGTGTGTAACTTGAGAATATTTGTACATATATTTTTGGACTTTTCCTCTGTAACTTCTTACTGTCTTGAGAGTTTGTCCCTCATGTTTCAGCCATTTGGCAGCTCCAGGACCAGATCAGAGTCTCCTCTGCCCCATGTGACCGCACCATGACTTGGAAATTGTCCTCAGAGAAAAGGCCAACATTTATATGGCGATGACCTTCTCTTAGGAAGTCCTACATGAGTTAGTTGCTCTCCAGCCCTCAAACCATATTGTCTAGCTTTTATGATTGTTTTTGATGGGAGGGCTGGTCTGATATAAGCTATTCCATGGCTGGAACTGGCAATCTAGATTAATTATTCAAGTAACAGTTCGTGGGTTATTTCTACAAGAACTTTAAGCCATTCTCCAGGTCTTTTCTACATTGAGGAGGAAGTAAAAATTTAAGTCTTTCTATCATTTTATATCCACTTATATACTACCAATTCAATATGCCATATTTTAGTTCGAGTTGAGAAAACATTAAAATAGGTATCAGCACATATCACTACCTGGTGTAAAGTTCTTTTATTTGGTTGGTGCTATTTTTACACTGTCTTTGAAAATATGGTACCACTAATAGATTTTTTTTTTGTAGCTAGAAGTGAGAATCAAGGACGAAATATGGATACGTATTAGTAAGTAACTACTTAAGACAGTCATTCATTTCCAAATAGTAAGTCCCTACTATGCTCCAGGAGACAGAGCAGTGAACCTGACATATAACATTCCTGTTCCCATAATCAACAGTAATAATTGTTATGAACAAAATTACACAGAGACATAGAATAGTGGGTACAATGAAAAGGTGATTTAGAAGAAAGGCTCGTTATGTATAAGATTCAGAGGAAGCGTTTTGAAATAACACAATTTGAACTGAGACCTGAATGATGAGAAGGCGCAAGTGCTGAATGATCTGGAGGAAGAAAACGAGACAGCAAATGAGGAACAAGAAGGTGGCCGGCGTGACTAGAGCTCAGGAAGTGGAAATGAATGACATGGGATGAGGTTACAGGGCTAGGTATAATCCACACTACGCAAGAATCCTGTAAGGTCACAGTAAAATTTTTATTCTAAGTGTGATGGAACATGATGGAGGATTTTGAGGGATGGAACATAAGACTGAAGGAATAAAGTGTCCCATTTAGAAAGATTACCTAGGCATTAGCATGGCCCGTGAATCAGAGTGCGGGCAAGTGTAAACCAAAGTCCCTGCGAAGTCCTCTAACAGCTTACTATTCTTCCCTTTAAAAAATCCTTGGCCAAAAGCCCCAAATGACTTTTTTCCATAGTGCATTTAAATACTTTTCAAAATACTAAATTCTAAACAAGCTTTTTCACTTATTTTACTCACAGCCTCACAGGAACAAGCTAAAATGTTAAACTTGATATCTGTATATAGTCTAACAACTCAGAGAAATAAGAAAATCTCTAAGAACAAGATATAATACTGATAAGGACAGAGGAGATCCTATAACTATAAAAACGTGATGAGCTGCTAAAAACCAACCAGCTCATAATTTTATGCAAATGCTACGATTTTTCAACTCCAACTTTTACATGTACTCACTTCTTTCCTCTTTCAGCTGCTCTTCATTGCTAATGTAGGTCTGCCTTTCCACCTACTGTCATTAAAAAGTTTCTTTAACATTTCTAATAATAGAGGCCTGCTGGTAATAAATGCTCTAAGCTTTTTATTTGTCTAAAGATGTCAATTTCACCTTCAGTTTTGAAAAAATAGTTTCCATGGTTAAAGAATTTTAGATTGACTTTTTTCTTTCAACACTTTCAAGATGCTGTTCATCGTCTCCTGGCTTGCACTGTTGGGGACATGAAGCAAGCAGTAGTTCTAATCTTGTTCCTTGTGTATGATGGCTTTTTTCCTCTGGCTATTTTTAAGATTTTGTTTTCATTTTCATTGGTTTTTCAGCCATTCATTATGTTTCTTTATGTCTGTCTAGTTTGGGTTTCATCAGGTGTCTGAGATCTGTAGGTTTATAGTTGTCCATCAAATATGGGAAACTTTTGGCCATTACTGCTTCAGATAGTTTTTCTGCCATTCCTCCTGCCCCGTGCCCAAATCATTCCACCACATGTATGTCAAACATGTGATACTGTCCCACAGGTCACTGGCTACGCTCCTTTTATTTTTCTCTCTGTGCTTCAGTTTGGATGGTTTCTGTTGTTATGTCTTCAAGCTCACCGATCTTTTCTGAGGTGGTATCAAATCTGCTGGGAAGCTTGCCAAGTGAGTTTATTTCGTGTATTTCTCAGCACTAGAAGTTCCATTTGGTCCTTTTAAAAATCTCTCTTCTCATTATGTTTGCATTTCCCTTTACATCCTTGGGCACACTTGTAATAGATATTTTAAGGTCCTTTATTGCTATCTCCATCATTGCTGTTCTTTCTCTGTATGTTTCTATTGATGGTTGTTTTCCTCCTCATCATGGGTTACATTCTCCTGCTTCTTTGCATAAGTAGCAATTTTTATTAGATGCTGAACAGTATGAAAACATGTTGCTGAATTTCTGAATTTTACTTTCTTCCTTTAAAGCATTTCCCATGTTGTTCTGACAGACGGTTAAATAACTTGTGGGTAGCCTAGCTCTTTCAAGGACTGTTGTTAGGCTTTGCTAACAGAGGGCTACATCACCTTTACTTTACTAAGACATGACCTTTCTGTAGTTTCAATCCAATATCCCTGGTGTGCAAAAACATATTTTAATTTTTAACTGCCCAATTTAGTCAACTCTTTTATTAGTCAAATTGTTTTTCAGTTGATCACCTTTTTTTCCCCCAGGAAAGTAATAATATGATCCATAATGAATTATAATTTTGTCACCAGTCCATTCTTTTTACTTTATTCCTTTTTCCTATGTTATTATACTTGTTAAAATCCCCAGAAAAATGTTAAATATTGTCTTGTTCTTGATTTTAATTGTGATGTATCTAACATTTCATTAACTCTTTTGTTTAATAAATATCTGTTGTTAAATGAAAATGGCAAGTAAATAATACACAAAGGGCATGCATATATAACTACATAACATGTCTGGAAGGATACTCAAGAAATTTTTAATTGTGGTTTCCCTGAAAGACTAGGGGTTTGGAATCAAAGGTTTACTTTATAGTACGTGCTGTTTCAATATATGAGTATGCACATTCACCCAATACTTGTATTTTTTTTTCAATTAAAACATCTAAGAGCCGGTCAAGTGGCTCAGTTGGTTAAGAGCTCGCTCAAGAGTGCGAGCTCTGAGCAACAGGGTCGCCGATTCGACCCAGGGCCTGAGCTGAGCTGCTGCTGCTGCGCTGCCAACAGGTGGCAGGCTTCAGCTAAAAAAACAAAAACAAAAACAAAAACAAAACAAAAAAAACATGTAGCTACATAAAAAAGAAGAAGAAGAAGAAAAGGAAGTGAGGGAAAGAAAGGAGCGAAAGAGAAAGAGAGCGAATGAGGAGAAAGGAGAGTGGAATCTATTTTCTGCTGTTTACGTAGTCTAAGGAGAAGGGAAGATAGATAAGAAAGTGAATTCTGATTCCTACTTAGAAGTGAGTAGCCAACATGACAGAATATGCTTTACTTAATACGAAAATAGTGTCATATTCTTATACATGTTGCTTTTTCATTTAATACATCACAGGTATTACCCTTCTCTGAAAATTCACTTCCAGAGCATCATATCAAATGGCTGTGTCACATTCCACTGTATGGACATGCCACTCTTTTGTATTTAATGTGTTTCATTCTATTTTCACTACTATAAACATCACTGCCATAAAAATC